GTCAGAACCTGTGAAAATAATGTAAGATTTTTTGGACCAGACAGAGAGAAATAAAAGGTGGATTAGAGACCAACTGGCATATGGAAAATTGTCATCTATTAAAGAATATTTTTGTCTAGTTACAATGCACTGTAAAACATAGATGCTTGGCACAGTGGCTTTGAGCAGCTGTGTGCTTCTCAATTCCATCACTCCCTGACATACCTTTGTGGTTCGAACATTTGCATGAGGAAAAAGAAAGGTAACCTTAATTTTCTTCAGGCAAGGCAGTGATTTAAACTTGAATCTTCTGCTTCTGGGGAAATGTTCCAACACATTGAGCAAGAAAGGGAGATAGGTAGAGGGTGAAACAGTGACCATTGTGTTTGCAAGGGAAACCTGGACCTTACTGTGTTTTTGAAGGAGCTTTGGCATCATTTTGCAGAAAAAGGTCAAAGCTAATCCTAACTGGAAGGAGACATGTCTTTTTAACCTAACACTGTTTATCTCTGTCCTGAAAAGGACACTTCTATCTGTTTTCAGCAGTGCTCATTGTTAACAGGATTTGCACATAGGGAATTGCATTTTGAGATGTCCATTTCTTTACAAACAAAGAAATTTCATCAGTAGATATGATTTGGTTTTGACTATTAGAATTGAAAAAAAACTATGTAGACTACCCAAATCAAGGAAGGCTTCCCATAAACGATGCAATTCATAGGTATTTATTGCTAGCTGCTTTTGTTATTCAAAAACACTACAGATTTTGAGAATTGGCTATATAATAACATGTCTTTAGAACAGTCTTTTAATGTTATTTTTGGGGGCTGGAGAGCATTAGAGCAGCATGAGGGTGACAGCTAACATGTCCAAACTAGGCCCAGCAGTCATTATCAGTCATTTCAGCATCTCCATGGATATTCAGTTGATCATACAGACAAGCTTTTAAAAAGACTGCCAATACTTAATACTTTCTGCAAAATCTCCTTGAGTACTTTGATATTTAACAACAAGGGTCACTTTTGTCTTTTCCAGGCTGAAAATTCTTCACCTGAAAGATTTATACTTCATGATCTGGAGTTTGTTAAAGAGTTATAATACCATGAGGGTCTTTTACAGCTTCATTGTCTGAACTGATAAATGTTTAGGAGAATAAAAAAAAAATTGTATATCCTGAGAAACATTTTTGGCTTTTAAATGCATCTCTTCTTAGACAAAAAACTTTTATTGTCACTTTTTGTGTCATTTTATCACAAAGTCAAAGCACAAAATTGTGTTCTCTCAAAATATTATTTTTTAATTTCCTGGACTAAGTTTTTAAAGACATAGATTATGCCTTTTTGAGGGTGAATCATATTCAGTAGTACTAAAAATTATGCAGCAGGGAATGAGAGCATGCAGAAAAGTTCTATGATCTGGTCAGACTTGGCACCTATCCTATGTGTTTCACATAAAGTGCATGCCAGGATAGAACCAGGTAAACAGTTAGTTTAATGCCATCAAAGCACATTTTGATGCATCAAAGCCATCTAAGTAATACAGAGTGCAAAAGGAGACACTGTAAGAGAATGGCAGAAAATGGAAAGCAGTAGGAAGAGCCACTACCACAGCCCATCTCCTGGAGAACTCCCAGACTCTGCTCTTCATGTGCCTCTGCACACTGCTTCCCTTCCTGATGGTAGGGGTGAGGAAGAAGTCCTGGTACCAAGTAGGTACAAAAGGTACAGTTTGGCACAGATGGAGTGCCACACTGGGGTTGTGATGCTTTGAGATCTATAGTGACATGTAGAGATGGTAGAGTTTGTGTTGGAGGAGAAGAAATTGGAGAAGGTTTATATAATTAGTTTTCAGGGTGTTGTAGTTAATAGGATACCTGTGTGTGATATGAACTGTTTTCAATATCACTGGTTGATTCTATTTGATTTATGCTCTCTTGATGTCATGTGCTTTCCAAGTAGATTGCACAGTTTATGCTAAACTGCTTAAATTGTCCTAATGTAAAACAGGAAAAGGTGAATAAGAGAGTATAAGCCACCACAGAGGGATACATTTTCTTTCTTAGTCAATCCTAATACTGGGAAATTTAGTTAAAGTATGCAGAAAATATCAAAAATATACATTCTGTCCTTAGTAAAATACCAGAATAGTATGGATGACATTGCAGATAATGCCCAAGTCCACAAACAATAATGATGAAAAGTAAATCAGTGAATAATTTTTCCAATTTATGTTCTATTTCCTAAATTTTCAATGCTTGATGCTCCAAGTTAAAAATCTTCCTTTAATATGTATGTAAGGTACCTAAGACAACATATAGAGAGGAATGAGAAGAAGGCTGTTATTTCAGGCATTGAACCTGACTGGAGCACAGCATTCCAGCTTTTTTTGGGCCTCTCCATAGCTCTGCATAGCTACCTTCAGAGACCACATGCGTTCAAATAGCATTCCAAGGTTCCATAGTTTATCCCAGTGGTCAGCTCAGCTCCTCTGCTCTTTTGCTTCCTGAGACAATAGATATCATGTGTGGCCAGCCTTTCTTTTCTGACTAACCTGTCTCTTCAATCTGTAACATTTAACCTCTGTCTCTAAAACAGTATCAAAATCCACTTTTTCCCACTCAGTAAAATTGGACACTTTAGTAGTGATACAATAAATGCTTTCTTGCTCATCTGTTGCCTTAGGTCTCTCTAAAGTGCCTAAGAATGATTTAATTTTCTCTTCTGCCTCTTCAGCCAAATAAATGTTTGGGCTAGCTTGTGAGTTTCATGGCACAATGAAGCAAAACAGATGATAGACTGAAAATTGAATGCATGGTATTCCTGTATCTTCAGTATCTTATGCATGAATTTAAAACTTCTCTTACGAATTTAAGAGATTAAGAGTACTATGGCACATAAAGAGTGCCTTGTATTTGCATACTTATTTAATTTAGAGTCAATTTGAAGAGCAGGTCATTCTAAGAACAGGGACATGATTTCAGAAGAAAGCATGCCATTGCCTGCTGGTAATCCTGGTATCACCACTCTTTGGTCCATTAAGACCATTCTTTGGTCTTAACAAATAAACCATTCATTATCTTTGTGCAGTTGTGTCAGAACTATTCAACTAAACCATGGTCTGCCAAGCAAGCATGGGCTGTGTAGTATCATGAACCATGCAAGCATGAACCATTGCAAGGATGATCTGTTTTGCAGAATACACCTATGCCATGGCACCGCTAAATGATACACTGTGCTTCATGCCAGTACCTGAGATTTGTGTGACAAAACTTCTCTAACAGAAAAAAAAACGGAAAAAAAGCCAACAGGGACTACCTGTCCAAAGTCTATGCTTAGCAGTCCAAAGTCTATGCTTAGCAGTCCAAAGTAGTGACTACCACTAAAGATACAAGAGTACATAAGAGTGGGTAGGATAGCTGACCAATGTCAACTCATAACCCAGCAGCCAAAAAAAAAAAAAAAAAGCAAATAAGCTGTAAAAAAAAAAAGCAAATAAGGTGAGCACATTGATTTGAGCGGGAACTCCCTGTCTCTCCCTGTCTGGCCAGTCAGACACACTCAGACCTAGATGAGGCTGTTCCAGTTCATCTCATGACCTTGTTCACTCTGAAAGCCAAATGTCTCAGCTCCTATAAACAGAGCTGGGTTGTATATACAAGGGAAGTTTCTCTCTTTTGATGGCTGAACAACCCTTCATCAACCCGTTAAGGGCTCCATGACTTTAACACTTTAGTTATAAAAATTTGATGGATAAATAAAAGACTATAGAACAGGAAGAATACTTTTGTTAAATTAATTCTGGCTTACTAAAACACTAAGAAACTGATGATGAGCCACTTTACTATTATTAGTAATTTTGCAGTTGTGTGGTGGAAATGTAAGGAAATGTGTAAAGTCATAAATTTAAGTCTAAGTCTTTCTGCTATCTCATACTTTTAACTAAAACTTATATTTCAAATTGCTTAACAGATATATTTCCTTAAAGTGTGGGAAACATTTTATGAAACTCTTTATTGTCTAGAGAAAGACTGTTGGCTGTCTGCCGAATCCTGATGGGTTAATAATCAAAAGCTGTAAAAAAAAAAAAAAAAAAAAAAAAAAATCCCTTTGAGGGCATTCCACATCTTAGGCAAAGGAGCAGTTGATTATTCCCATTTACAGTATGTGCTTCATTCTGAGGAGAGGTAAGATGGACCATTTATGCTTTGCTAGATCACATAATTAGACTATGTTTTGGTCAACAGGGAAATGCTGTTTTGACCATTAGATTTGTAGTCTGTTTATCACAACTGTGGTATAACACAATTTACATTTGCAGATAGACATTAACAAGAATAAGTGTAGGGAAATAAATAATAATTTAAAAACATCCCGTAGATTCAGTTGGAATCTGAGTCTTGAATCTGACCTCAACAAGGAAGAGATATTGACTTCTGTCAAGAAAGACATTAGTTCTTCACAAAGCACTGAAAAGCTGTCTCCTCTGGTTTATTGATTTGAATATATCTTTTGTATTTCCAGTTTAAGATGGTATTTTAACAGTCTACATTTCTAAATCACTGGTGGTGAGACATCTGTGAGCACATACCCACAAGGTATAACTCCAAGACTATTCGTGCCAGAGAGAATTTATCTGTTCAAACTTTGTGTCATCATGTGGCTTCTGGGTCTTTCATGAACGTGAAGAGTATTTTTACTATGTTGGAAAACGGAAGTTAGGTTTAACACCTTACGGTGTCCGCATAGTATTGGGACTCACCTTTGAGTGCTGCAGGGGGGTGACACATGTTTTTACACCCTATGTTGCTCTCTAGTTACCAGTGCCGTCCGCAACACGCTGGGCCCGAGGGAGCCCCGTCCCCCCACACTCCGGGGGCAGCGGGGCCGCTGCCGGCTCGGGACCGCCCTGCTGTCCCGGGGGTGCCGCCAGCCCTGCCCGGGACCTGCCCCGGCCAGGAGCCGCCACCTGCGATCCGCCTCCCGGCCGTGCCCGGCCCCGCGGGGCGCCGGGGCGGAGCAGGACCCGGCCCGCCCCGCTGAGCCGCAGGTAGGGCAGCCGCCCACCCGGTGCCGTCGCGTTCGGTCCGCGGTCGGAGTCTCCGCGCTCCCGGCGCTGGCCGATGGATCCCGAGGCGGCGAGGGACGAGTTGTCCCGCTTGCGCGCCCTCTTCCTGGCGTGCGACGCCAGCGGCTCGGGCCGCATCGAGCGGGAGGACTTCGCTGCTCTCTGCGCCGAGCTGCGGGTACAGCCGGCCGAGGCCGAGGCCATCTTCCAGCGCCTCGACAGCGACCGCGACGGGGCCATCACCTTCCCGGAGTTCGCCCGAGGCTTCCGCGGCGCCACGCGGCCGCAGCCCGCTGGCAGCGAGCCGGGGGGCGAGGACATGGAGGAGGAAGAGGCGTCAGCGGTTTGGGTCGCCGCGGGGCTGGAACAGCCCTGGAAGGACTTCGAGGTGCGGCTCGGGGACGAGGCGAGGTACATCCCCAGGTAAGGTCCGGACCCTCCCGCTCCGTCCCATCCCAACCCCGCGGTGTGAGCGGGTCCGCGGCCCCGCGGCTGGCGGCTGAGCTGTGCGCACCCCGGCCCCGCCGCTGCCGAGCCGGCCCTGCCGTCCTGCGGGGCGGGAGGGGCCCTCCTGGCGGAGCCGCCGCCGGCGCTGATGCAATCCCAGCTGGGGAGCGGCCGAGTAGCTGACCCCTCGCCCCCGTGCCTGCAGGTGAAGAGAGCCCTCCGTACACCTGCTTCCCGGCTGGGGTGGTTTCCAGCGCTGTTCTTTTAGCGTGCAGCCGCTCCTGGCTTCCTCTGCTCTGTTGTGCCAGCGACCCACGTGGGAAAGTGTGGCTGGCGGAACGCGGAGATGTAAAGTTCTGCCGGCTCCGCAAGAACTTTCTCCTGGTGTTGTTTCCCGACCAGCCCCCAGCATTTTTCTTCCAGCCTAATCAGTCTTTTCCTGGTAAGGGCTGAGCAGCAACATCGTTGCCTCCACCTTAACGGTGTTGGTAATTATGGTCCTCAGTGTGATGAGCTCACTGAAGTTTGTGACAGTCTTTGTCCCCGGTCTCAGTGAAGTGAAGACAACTGATGGTAGCTTTGTTGGAGACTAAACCCGTTTAGGACCGGGCTGGTTCCAGTGTACAGAGATGCATTTTGGTGGCTCTCAGGAATCTGCCTGAAAGCTGAGGTGCTCAAAATTCATATGAAAATGTTTGCTATGGAAAGTACAGAGTGATTCTGCTTCATTTTAAAATTGTAATTTATGATAGAAGACAAGTAATCTGAGTTTCAGGACTTGGCAGCTAGTCAAGAGAGTTTTTAAAAGTCTTGCACGTGAATATATCTCCATGTTGTTTCTGTATAGGGCTCTTTAAATTCCTGCCTATACCATTTTGGTTCCAGACACATTAAAAATATTTTGGATTATGAGGTGAAAAGTTTCTTCAGAAAATTTTTCAGTTACTTAACCTGCTACTCCTGTGTAAATCCGGAGTAAATTTTCTTTTCTTTCTGGACTAATACTCTTTAGTCTTATTGGACTGCCCCATTTCAGACAGATCAGTATTTTTGTACAGGTTTTAATTTGTTCATGGTGCTTTCCTTGTTAGACACTTGGTTTCTAAAGAACAAAAGACTGTTTGAAAGCTTGCAGACACAGTGAATAACCTGAAGTCAGAAACTCAATAGGAGCTGAAAAAAAAATCTCACTCATGAACAGTGATAACTTGTGAAAGCATCTGTCTCCTCTTGGTAATAGCTCCATTTCAGTATCTTGGTTACTGTTTGCAGCAGCAGTTTCAGTGTAGTCTGACTGTGTAAAAGGATAATGGGAAGGGGAACAGCTTTAATTGGCTCCACTATGCAGACACATCTGGTGGTTTTGCTAAATTCATCATGACATAATGTAATTGTGTTTTGGTTCTTTTACATAAAAACTGAAAATAACTAAGTTTTGATGGTTAAATACTATCATGTAGGCAGTAATTTGGTGAAAATGTTTCTTATTCAGGTTCAGATTTGAACATCCTTCGCAGTTGGCTGTATTTATTAATGTGTGTCAGTGTCAACTGAAAAACAGTGTGCCCTTTGTTTTTTGTCTCTCTCATCCTGAAGTGCTAGAACTAGGTCTGTTCTACAGCTCAGCTTTTTTTCCATTTGTAGCCCATGTCTTTTTTGTTGAAACGTATGTATAAGGTTTTTTTCCCATGTTAGTAGTCCTACTAAAATCATTAGGACCACTTACATGAGTAATGAATAAGTTGAAATTCTTTGAGGAGCCTTAAGCAGAAGAATATAACAAAATCAAGTGAAGTACAAGCTGGATTTCAAAAAATATATTTATATTTTTGTTTAAATTATTTAATTTGTTTTAGTTGTTTGTCACTTCACGTTTTTATTCAGGAAGAGGCAGTACTTTGAAAACTAGAATGGTTTGGAACACACCATTCATTCTTCAGTGATGTAAAAGAATTGGGGTCCTTATGCTGGGATTTATTGCTCTTCATATATTGTGACATCGACATTTGTGAGAAAAGTAATTACAAAGGAGAAATTCTTCAAAGCCAGATGAATGCAGTTGAGAGTCCATGTTTTTTAATCTCTCTTTTTTAATTCTCTGTTTTTTTATCTTGATCATTTTGGGGTTCAGTTCCTCAAAATGCTCTGCCTTGTGGCCACAGACTAGCAAGACACTGGGACACGTGCTTTGATGCTGTTGGGGTTTTTACAGGGAGAAACAAGGCATAGCAAATGGAAGTAGTGAGGTAAGGGTTGAAATCAGGAGAAAATGCCACAGTGAACACCTGTGGCCTCTGTCACTCCTCAGCTTGAGTGAATATCCATGGAAATCAAAGGGAAGATTTCCACGATACACATGGTTCTGTCTCCGTTTCAGAAACTGAAAGTTCAGTTTCTGTGACTGAACTTTTAAAAAGCATAAATACCCTCCATAACGAGGTGTGAAACCCAGTAACAGCTCTATGCCTTGCCCCAGTCCTCAATGAAGTAGCAGGCATTTAATGCAAAATTATTTACTGCCAAATACTAAAATAAGCATATATTATAATAAGCATATTTTGAGTATAATTACTTTTTTGCAAGAGGTAATTTTATTATGGGATGGATCATACCTCTGCTGTTTGGTGTCTAAGTTGCACAGTCTAAGATTATACTTCAAAAGATTCAAGTCTGTGCTGAAGCTGTGGTTTTACTTTTTGCAGTTAAACAGGCAGAGTCACATTAAAGAGTTTCTTTACAGCCTTGCTCCTTTCCTCCTCACTTGAACAGATGTTTTTGACTAAATTAAGTTAGATTTCTTGGTTAGGTGGTTACTGTGAGTCAAAGTATTGTTTGCCTTAACCTTTACTTGCGCTTGGTGGACAGTTTGCCTCTGGGAAAAAAAAATGATGGAAAGTCTTTGCAGGCTGATAACCTAATATGTGAAGTCAGACTTTAGTGGATTTGTACAGGGGGTTGTTTGTTGTGTTTTTTTTTTTTTTTTCTTGTTGCTGTTTTGATTTGTTTGGTTTTAATTTCATTTAAAATGGAACTACCCTTCTACATTGCTACATTTAATCAGGAATAATGAGTAATTAAACATAGCAGTGCCTTTAGTTTATGTGTATTTATAGTGAATTGCCAGCTGGAGATCTGTTTTGTTGAGAAGTCAGCCATGTTCGTTAGTTTATTCTTCTAGGAAGTATTTGAAATGGTACAGGAGTGGACAAAAAAGAAACTTGGACCTTTTTGGTGCTCCAGACAGTGAGTGCTTCAGTGCCCTGCCGACCTGGAAGTGTTTACCCCTTAATGGTGTTACTGGATGTTGCATTCTTTCTTGTGGCCAATCTCAGTTTGAATTTCAGTGGCAAGACTGAAAGGTTCCCTCCATGCTCCTAATGGACAGATGTTTTCTTTTAAGTGTGTGCGAATGTCTCCCTAATGGCAATCCTTTTCCATTCCTCCGCTTGCGCAAGGAATAATCTAACATCCTCTGACACTACAAGAAAAATCCTGTACTTACGAATGCTATGGCATTTCCCTCTCCATAAATTACAGGCAAAAAAATTCCTGGAAAACAGATTTTTAAATTTCCACGTCAAAGACTTCAGTCAGAAAGAGCAAAGGCTTGGGACTGTCAAAAAGACTAAGCCCTACTGGGCAACTTTTGTGCAATGTCTGGCAAATTGGATAATCTTATTGGAAAATGAACTAAATTAATTAGAGCATGAATGGGTGGATTAATCTGTAGCAGAAAGTTTGTATCCCTGTTTCGAGTTAAATCTGCTCTCACTGAGAGGCCTCATAGTCCATTGCTTTGCTGTTTAGTCTTTGTTTTATTTGTGTGCCTTGTACTTTCAGCCAAGCTGACTATTCATCAGACTCAGATTTCAGTGCTGCCTGATTGTGAGATTTTATGCCTCATACAATTCCAAAGTCTCTTAATGTGATTATGATAACAGTGTGCCCCCAGTCATGTCATCTGGAGCTGTATAGAAAATGTGGATCTAGGGGATGTGATAAAATGAGAAAAGCATGCTGGTCTTAACATGAGCTACTTAAACTGTGAAAGCAGGCGATGCTCATGGGATATACCGCTGTACTACAGCAAAGTGGAGAAGCTCTGCTGGATAAAAAAACCCATCCAAAACCTGTCTTGCTCTTGCTGTCAAAACTTAGGATGGATTTTTGCCAAAGTCAATATAGAGCACAGTGTTAACTTTTGTCAGCAATTTGTGTTTACGTCCATGAGATGATGAACCCTGATGTCAGAACTGGAGAAGTTGGAAGTTCCTTGGAAGTTGAAGCATGTTACCTGGAGAGGGGATAAAGGCAAATCCTGGGGAAAACCAAAGGCTGTATCTTTTTTTCGCCACAGTGCTGGAGATGGGATCTCTTCTGTGGGAATGTTGTCTTGTATTTTAATACATATCATGACAGGGGTTTGAGAGATGTGCTCTGCTGGAAATGTGGTGAATACCTTTCTGTGAGCTAGAAGACTTTCTGAGCTACATTGAGTTTTACTGCTCTTCTGATTTTTGCTTTAATCAAAACAGCATCTGTGCTAACTAACTTAAGCACTGGAGCATTCATTTTCCTGGATTATTTTCTTGGAATCTTCATGTGATCATTTGCCGTAAAGTCTTTGAGGTGTTCTCCTTTTCCACAGACTTAGTCTTTCCCTGCCTGTCCCACAGACTTTTTCATTGCTGTTCCACTGGCTCTAAATCACACCTCTAAGGGAACAGCATTCATGCTTCAGCCATTAAAAATCTTTCCTCTGGGAATCAGACCTTGGCTGGGGTGTCTCATCTGGGGGTTACTGATTTGATTGTCTTCTTTTAATGCAGCCTGTTTCTGAAGGGGCAGATACAGAAAAGGAAAAGTTGGTATTAAAAAACCCATAGTACTTTAAATTCACAAATATTTTAAATTTTACACCATGTTAAAGTTCTGTGTAATCTATTTTTCCTTCAGGCACTCAATCTAGAGAAAGTGTTAGGCACTCAGCTGTGACAAAGTTAGATCCTTTCCAATCTGTACTGGATTTGGTTGTTCTTTTCTGCTGACTGGTACAGTGGTATATCCAGTGTGTCTGCTTTTCAGAAAAAAAGTACTTGTCGATGTCTTGGAGGCAGACTTAGGCTGTTGGTCTCCAGTGTAAGGACAGTTATCAGATACCTAATGGTTGAGCTTTGTTTTGTTCTGACCACCCAGCTCAGACCACCTTACACTTCATCTCTTTGTCCATACCAGAACAGAACTTGTAGAAGTGATCAGAGCAATTTTACCACCTGACCTACAGTAGACAGGGATCATTGAAATAGTGTTCTAAAACCAAATACTGCCCTTAGGGTCAGACTGGGTGCCTGTGTAATACAGCATATTCTTTCTGGTGACTACACGGGGAGCATATGTAAGATACTGAGCAACTCTGGAGTTGTTATTAGTTGAAAAATTCCATCATCTTTCTCTGAACTGCATTCAGAATGTGGATTATTAGGCAGATGGTCACTGTACAATCAGCAAACCAGAAACAATACTATGAATTGATAAGGATTAATATAGCTGTGTGGATTAAAGGAAAGGATAACACAATATAAATATCTGGTATGCTCAAAATCAGTGTTGTGGGGTTTTTTGGTGGGGGTCCTCCCTCTGCCTCCCTTCTGCTCCTCTTCTATGCAGCCATGGTATTTTAATTCTATGATATTAGAAATTGCATTATAATCAGAGCAGTTTTATTTTCTTTATGCAGTTCTCACAGGAACTCTCTGAAACCATGTGAATACTGTAACTTTGCTTAAGTTAACTCATGTGAAGCTGTGCAAATATTGACTAATTACTCTTATTAAGTACTAATTTTACAGATGGTTTATGCTATAAAACCTTTGAAATGAGGTAAGGTAAAGCCAAAGTAGTCCTTGGCCACAATGCTGTACCTTTTGTGGATTACTAGTGTTTGGTGTCTGCACTTTGCAGAAGCAACAGAAATAAATGCATGCATGATGAGTAGCATAACCATAGTGCCAGATGAACAAAGTGACAAACTTTCATGCCATGTATTAAAAAAATGTTCTTTCTACGCATTGGTATTTGTGAACACCTTTAAGTTCCACACTAACACAACTTTGTTAGTGTGGAACTTATAGGTTTGCAGCTAAATACACTGAAAATTAATTTAGGATTACAAGGAAAACCAGTTTTAAAGAGCATCAGTAAACTTGCTGAGGGTACATTCTTTCCCTTCATCTGGATCATTGATAAACAAGTTGAACAAGACTGGTTCCAGTATTGATCCCAGAAAATGCCACTGACTACAGGCCTCCAGGTGGATTCTGGAAATGTCCTTAACAGTTTTTCAAATGCAAATCATTAATTGAATAAATATACATTTGAGGAGTTCTTTAATGTTGCATTATTTATACAGAGTTTGTAGCATCTGATGTTCAGATAAACCTGTTCATTATTGTTACTGTTGGTGAACTTCAACATTACTCTCTTTAGAATACATTTTGAAAAAGAAATTGTGTGCATACATTGGAAGATATTTAACTTACTAAATACAGGTAATACAGGACTAGCCTTTGTAAAGGAAATCCTTTGCAAGACAAAACCACAGAAATTTCTCAGGCATCAGTAAATATCTCTTTGTGCTGGTGTTATGTTTCTCTGTCTCAAAATGAATGTCAACATTTCAGCTGGAAACAAGTTTTACAGTGTCCTGAAGTTGTTAAATTGTTTAAAAGGGAATTTGAGCTATAGTAAGAGTTGTGGTACTGTTTTAATAAAGTAAGTTAGACCTTCAGTGGAGAAATCACATATAAGAAGCAGAGCGCTGCAGCATTGATAATCAAAGCTGTGGAATTGCTTCAAGTGAGAAAAAATTAAGAGAATATACACTTGTTGAATTGCACAATTGTGCAATTTATGTAGTAGACTTTGTAATAGTGGTTTGGCTCTTATGTTGGTTTTTTTTTTTTTAATCTTGTAAAGGTTCTTTGCTCTGACAATTAGAACAGTATGCAATCTGTGTAAATTAGTCCAGATTAAATAGAAATCTGAATATACTATTCCTGCATTGAGGCAACATTTCACTATGAATTTCAGGAGAGCTTTTAACAACTAAAATACCTACAGAAATGTTTTCTTTCTTCTTTATGAGATATATCTGACATTTTTCACTTGAGAGTCATATACAGAATTAACTTCTTATAATGACAAATTTATTTATATATAGACCAGAATAATTTGTGTGAAACTGAGGAGCTGTATTCTTATTTTGCCTACAGCCCACCTCCCTCTATCTCCTTCCCCTTTTAACTTAAGTAGTTATTATTCATGCCTGTTTTCAGTTCTTATGCAACCTCCTGAAATCTTAGGTTTCTTAATGGATTATGATTAACATTAAAGCAATCAAGAGACTTGATATACATTGTGGGTTACGCCAGTGGCATTCTCTTCACTACACTGTGAACAGAAGTAAAAAAATTACTTCATTGGGCAGTTTGGGTTGGTTTTTTTTTCAGTAGCTATATTAAAGCAGAGAAGTGGAAATGGTGAACATAATTTAAAGAATTTAGTCATAATGTACTGAGTGTTAAAAGCTTGTATCTAGTTTGCTAAATTTTAAAAATAGGCAAAGAGGGGAATATCCTAATTTGTAGTAAGTTTTTCACACCTATAGTAGAACATTGTTCCAACTGAGTGCATTAAAATGTGCATATCTCTCTTTTTCAGACAAGAGCAGGTCAGTGTTCTGTATCAGAACATACACATAGCAGAACCAAGATTAGTCCAGCCATATGAGCATGTCATTAAGAGCTTCATCCAAGAGATCAAACTTCAAAGCACAGAGATGGAAACTCTGGCCATAGCGGTAAAAAGGTATAGTGAATTGTGTTTCTAGTTCAGTTCTGCAGTTTTTTTATTTCTCTTCTCCTGCTTTTTTTGATTAAACTACTGAGAGTTAATGCCAAAATATGCCATGCAAAGTATTTCCATAAACTGAGTTCTGAAGTTAGTTTGTGTGCATACCCTTTGTGCATAAACACATATAGCAGCCTGCAAAAGATTGCCTGTTCATACTTCCAATAAATTCTGGACTTCCAATAAATTTTTGCAGACTCTATTGTTAGTTAAATGCCTTAAAACATTTTGACTGCTCTTCCTTGGCTGCAACTTTGACTTTTATCATACATGTCCACTATACTTTCATTTTAGAAATCATATTTTTGCTTCATGAGCTTCAAGGACTGTATTTACCTGTTTTAACTACTTGGCACTGTCAGTCTCACATCATAACTGCCAAAACCAAACAGATTAGCTCAGAACAGAGATCTTGTATGTGTGGGTGATGCAAGTTGCTTTTGAAGTCTCTTCATAGGATAACAAGAGGCACCTTTCATCTTTGTAAATTAATTTTAAAAATGCAGATGTATTTAATGCTAATCATCAGCTTGCAGCTATTATTTAAAATCTAATTTGCCAGTATCTTCAAAATAATTTGGCCTTTAGGTTCTTGGCCACACCAGTTTCAAGGTCTGGGCAATGTTAAACTGTTTACCTGTCTTTCTGTCTAATTTGTTTCAGTTGAGGTAGGCAGATGTGTTTCACACAGTGTTTCTTTCAAGCTGGAGGGCAATTCCTAAGAGAGTATTTTCTTCTAAATTTTAGAGCTCAGGACAAAGCAGCAGTTCAACTCAGTGAGTTAGAGGAAGAGATGGAACTACGGATACAGGCTGCCGAGCATAAAGTTAAAAAGGAAGTGAGTATTTTATATTTACAGTATTTCATAATTACTGAACTCTCAGTGATCTTAAGCAGGATTGATGGCCACCTGTGGTTTTGATCGTGATGGACTGACTCAAAGCTGCTGTAGGCAGGGCCTGGATGAAAAAAGTCTATACATGAAATAAAAAAATGAATGCTCTTAATGCTTGCCCAAAGAGGAATATCTGCTTAGGTGTAATGAACCAAGAAAAAGAAGTCTTTCCCTTTTGTGGAAACATACTGGCCAAGAAGAGTTTCTTTCTGAGACCAATATTGGAAACAGACTGCAGAAAATTATATTTCAGCACTAAAGAATGCAATCTAGTTCTCCTAGTACAATAATTTGTGTATAATTTAATGCTTTGATTATTTGGTCTTTTTTTGTGTATCTGCCTGGAGTAATGCTCTTTCTTTCCTCCTTTCTCCTGCAACTACATTTTAGAGACTTAAGAGAGGATAACTGTGGTAGCAATGTGTGAGGGCCTGGGCCCCTCAAACTTATTGGGAAACTGTTTTGATCTGCTCAATTTTAACTGTTGTTTCAACCCACTTGCAGTCTACATGAAAAGAAGTAAAAATCCTCTTCTCTTACCCAGGGAGAGATATATTAGAGCTACATGTGATTGCATAATTCAAAGGAGCAAGACCAGCTCCCTGGTTCATTTTGAATTATTACTACATTCATTTAAGATAAGCCAAACTTAATATGGGCATAACAGTTTGTGAAAGTTTTCTAATGAAGGCATAAGAAATGCATTAATTAAAACATATACTATGGGCATAATTACTGCTTGGTCAGACATGTGGTATACTGAACATCTATATATATTTGCTATGGGTTCTTTCACCAGAGTACTTGCAGAACCAGAAGTAACAAAGTACTGTCTGCCAACTTGCTGAATTTAAGTAGTTCACACTAATTGATATGTGAAGGTAAATGGTATTCTGTTAGATTTACTTCAAGCAGCTTTTTTTCCTGTACAGGAGAAAACAGTCCTACCACACCATAAAAGCCTATTTTGTTCCTAGAAACAAAATATAATGGCATAAAAATCTTAAAGATATCACACCTGCAAAAAAAAAAGTGTGGTTTAATATGTTTAACTAGTGGTAATGCAGCTCTTAGTAGAGATAAATTTTCACTTTCAAAGAAGCTAAGTTGTTAATGTTGAGAAAACAAATACATTTTCTCTGGAAAATAACTATTGTCAAAAAGTGATAAATCACTGAAAAAAGCACTGAATACCCTTTTTCACTGCTTTGAAAAGATGACTGTGTGTGTTCGCTTATTCTGAGAACATCTACAGTTATATACTGGCATTATGCAGAAGTCGATCTTCTATGTATTATCTACATTTAGTCTGTATTCCCAATCACTCTTTGCATCTAGCCATAGGTGTGAAAGATGGTCTCTGTTAACTTGCTTAACTTGTTTCTCACAAAGTTTTTTCATTTTCACTCTCCAGTGTTCCTTGTAGCTCCTAGCTCCACATACCGCACCTACTAGAACACCCTGAGAGTAAATGCTAAGTTATTTACTTTGTGGGAATGTACTAAGCCATTAATCTTAATGTCTGTAATCAAGGCTATTGTTTGTCAGAGTGATCTCACTCATGCCACCGGGACACCTGCTTCTGCATGAGCCTATCCTGTATTTTGTTTCTTCAAGGGAAGCAAATAGTTACCCAACAATACTTAGGAGTTTATGTAGTTGGCAACAGTAGGGGAATCCAGCTTAAATTGATTACTTGGATTATTGTTTTAACACATGAATTGTCAGCGTCATCTACGGGAAATTCTAATTCTGAATTCTAAGCAAAATCTATGCCTGCCTCTTACATGTGAAAACTCAACTGTCTCATTGGCTCCATTTCTCACTGCTGCATTCTGACTTCTTGTGTTGTGAAACTGGAGTCCCTGGGGAGTGACTGGAGTGAGGAAACACACCAGTCAGTAGCACACCACACACATTGTCATTGATGCACAAATTGGTTTGATACTCAGACTGAGTACTATATACAGGTATTGGTATTTAGACGGAGCACTTGGTGCTGGTTTCAAATACAGTGAAAAAATTAAACCCAGTCCTGTTGTCGCCTTTTATCCCCTCTGCTTCTTCTAGTAATAGAGGAAACCAGGAGAAATCATAAACTAGAATTACAGTATACTGGAAGGCTGCAATAAATGCAACAATATTGATAATGTAGGGTATACAAGGGAAAGAGAGTATTTTACCCACAAAAGGGCATTCACCACGGAACATCCCCGTGGGCAGTACTTGGTGCAATCTCTAAACACAGGCGCACACCCTGCCATGTGTCCTGGTAAAAGATGGCACTGCTCCCATTTCCATCTGCTGAGACCATCCCGGTGATGTGGGTGGTATTGAATAGACAGCAGTCAAACCACCCCCTTGTCTCTGTTGCTGGGATGGTACCATTTATCTAAAACTAGAGCTGCTGTTGTCTGCTTGCTTTCTGCTGACATGGGCCTATAATGTTCTAACAATTGCAAGCAAAAAAATTCAAAGGAAAAACAGAAGTAAAAAAGTAAGTGACATTGAGAATGTTAAGCACAGGAATCATGAATGAAAAACACTGAATGGACCCAAATATTTGCTTTCATGCCACCATTTTATATTGTGTATACACAATACACAATATCTGTGTATTGCATAGACTGCAATGACAGAATCAGAACCTATGGACCTTAAGGAAGGGATAGAATGGAAAAACACATTTGTCTAAGCAAAAAGTATGTGCTTTACAAAGCGATGAATGAATTTTTTGATAAATATATGAAACCTGTCTCAACTTCTAATGAGATTGAAAATACTGCAGGAGAAGCAGAAAGCTGAAGAAGCACTAAATGAGCTGAAGCGCCAGTATGACGCTGAAGTTGGGGATCTTCAGGTGACAATAAAAAAACTTAAAAAGGTAAGTGAGTTGAAGTCTGTTGAGTTTTTTTAAGTGTTTTTTGGCCTTACGAAATGTCTCCCTCAAGATGGATAATCATAATTGTAGGTTTCTAATTTAATTTGTGTTAGTAAATGGCAACTGCAGATAATTTTTAGGTCGTGTTGTCATTCTGTGCTTTTGTATTCATGTTGTGTAATTTGTTTAAATAGTTAGGAAAGGGAGCAGCAACTATTACCTAAATTCTTTAGCTTAACAATTTTCTAGGTCTGTCAGGTTATTATACCTAGTCTTATATTTGGTCCATTAGAAATAGTCCAATATATTTCCACTAAGTATTTGTAATTTATAAATAAAGATGGAATTGGCAACCCAGATGTAGTTATTTACATATAGTGCCTTTTAGTACCCAGCTTTATGTATAGTGCCTTTTAGAACTCAACTGCAATCTGATCTTGTAATTTGATACCTAGTAATAAAGTAAAATGAAATCTCAGATAGGAATGATGTTTTAGAATATGTAATACGTGTTTGGAATATGTAATTTGGGTTTAATTTTGACCTTGGTTTTTGCTGTAAGTTTTACCAGAATTATAGCAAGCAAAGTGGATATATTTTTTGGGTTTTGTATTTAATTGCACATAGAAGAACATTTCTAGAAATGGAAATTTCTTACAAGACACGTGAGAGCTTCTTGTCCAAGTACTACATAGCTGAGGTATTAATAATTTTTTATAATTTTTAAAAGTTAGTTTTTCTCTCTGTTTCGATCTTAACAGCTGTCTTCTGTGTCACTAGTTATGAATATTTTATACCTAAAGAGTGCAAAATGCATATCAATTTTCTAGAAAGCCAGTGGTTTTTGAAATAATGCTGTCTGCTAGTACATTCGGAACAACATTTAAGTTTTAAAAACTTTAGTAACTGTAAAACCTCCTAAGGATTATTTATTGTGATTTCCATAAGGTTTGTTTTTTTTAATCAGAACAATCAAATACATTAATTGTGCATTTTTTTAATACTTAAGCTGGAGGAGCAATCCAAGTATGTTAATCACCGGGAAGATGTAGCTGAACTGAAGAAAAGAATACATGATATGTTGCTGGTAAGAGAATATTAATATTATTATTATTAACATATTAATTTAGCCTCAGTTTTAGTGTCTGCAATACAAATCGGTATACTTGTGGAGATTTGGGTTTTGATTTTTATTGGTTTCTTTTTTTTAACATTTATTAATGGTAAGCTAGCAAGTAAAGCTTAGAAGTCATGGGTAAGTGTATGTGGATCTTTTAAGTTGAAAAAAAACCTGTTTAAATGTATGCACATTTTACATAGGACATTTAGAAATGGCCTGAGTTGATGTGGTCCCATTTTTTTGTAACTGAATAGAAAAAGAATAGTTAAGAGATTCTTGCATGTTAATTTACTGACTGCTCTGTTGATTTATCCTTCTTTCATTTTCTTTCCCTCCCTATGCCAAATTTTGTAGTGTTTAATTTTTATTTAACCTTGATGGTTTTTATTCTACTATTATAGTTTATCAACATTTTGTGGAGGTGACTGTGACAGCTAACATCTAATGTCTTCCTTTTTTGAAGGAAAATCAGAGACTTAAGAAAGATCTCTTAGAAGCACAGACAAATATAGCTTTTCTACAGAGTGAATTAGATACCTTGAAAAGCGAGTATGCAGATCAGTCTTTGAACACTGAGAGGTAAGTTACTTCTACATGATAATATTTTCACAAGGGAAAAAACAATATCTATTTTCTGATGTAATTATTATGCATGCAGTTGGCAACTGTTATTTTCTGAATTTGCCTTAAAGGGTGGGTACATGTTTAATACCATGTCATCAATGCTGTTCACTTTTCTTGTTAGGTTTCTGAAGGAGCAAATTCTGGCTATGATGAAAACTCTCACAATCTTGCAACATTAGTTGATTTTAGTGGGACTTAATTAGGAATAAAACAGCAGTACATCAGGAATTTTTTTTCTTCATGGCTTGCACTCACATGAGGATCTGTATGAATTTTAGGGAGAATAGTTTTGGAAGCCTTCCATGTCTATCTTAACCATTTGTTTTTCTAAAGTGAATGAAAGCTACTTCTAGTTACTCTTTTAAAGGAGCATAAAGGGCAGTTTCATTGTGTGGTTATCATCAGATAATACAAATTATATTTGAAAGGAAAAGGAGACAGTCCCTATGGTTATTTTGTATGATTTTAATTTTTCATTCATTGTCTTTGTTGAGTTGTAACGGCGGAGATTAATGAAGTCACAAAATGATCTTACTTTGCGTAAAACTGCTCTGAGCATATTTCAGCATAAATGTAAACTCTGCCAAGGGCAATATGGTGAAAATGTGAGACTATCCTGTTAAGTATAAGTTCATTTAAGTTTGGTGTTTATTTTTGGGGTTTTTTTCCAGGGATCTAGAAATTATCCGAGAGTATACTGAAGACAGAGATAATCTGGAAAGACAAATTGAAATACTTCAGTAAGTTTTTAGAAATGCAGTTTTTTATTATCAAATTTAGCTCCACCATATTTGGGATAAGTGTTTTTATATGCAAAAGATAGGGATGAAATTTGGGAAGTAGTTCCAAGTGAAAATACTGAAATGGCCTAAATTATTGTAAAAGGTGTTGTTCTCAACTGTCATAAATGTTACTGTGGTATTAACTCTACTGTGGTACTGACCCACTGACACTTCAGTTGGTTTCTTTCCATTTCTTTTCTTAGCCCCATTGGCTTTCATTTCTTTCTAATAAGCTGAATGTGATTTGAGTCTATCCATGCTATCATAAAAATTATTGCCTTGCTCCTTTTTATATTGGCTTTGCTTCTCCAGTAACTCCCTGTCTTATTGTTGTCTGGAAAGTACTAAGAGTTGCAGTATTATATAATAGGTGCACAAGAAGGGTCACAATGAATACATTTATTTATATCTTTATTTAATATCCTTATCCTAAGCAAATTCTTTATTTCAAGCAGATTGATTATATTTGTTTTCAGAATCACCTCAGCAATATTTAAAGGGTAGTAATTTCGTACAGAAATGGCTGGACTAGTTGTTTTATTGTGTGGTTTGGTTGGGTTTTTTTTGTGTTTTTTTGTCACCATTCCTACAGTACCTTTTTTTAAACTCAACTGACCAGAGACCATGCTGTACAAGTGAAAATGGACTTCCTGGGCTGCCACTGAAGCCTAAAATTCACAGTGATTTTTTCTGATAATTTGTTTGAGTACCTGTCGTTGTGTTTCTAGTTTCATGTTACTATTTAGTGTTTAGCTAAAGAAAAAAAGGGTTTTTTAGAAGTATTTTGAAAATTTTTCTTTTTGAGGAATTACATAGGTTTTCATGTTTTCTTGAATTGTGCAAGTTAAACTATGTTTTCCTGTTAGATCAGCTAATAGAAAACTACATGATAGCAACGATGGTTTAAGAACTGCACTTGAAAACAGTTTCAGCAAGTACAACAGATCATTGGTATGTATTGATGATTTTGTTACATTGTCATAGAAGGTGTAAGAATCAACACAGCGCATTTAAACTGGTACCTCAGTGGGTACTGAAAAAATTGAGATTTTTTTCAGTGAATATTCCTGTGTAGTTTTGTTAGATTTTACTTATGTTTTGTTAAATAATGGAAGTTTTGTTAGAGCATAGCTACTTTCCAGATGCTTTGGAAGATGACTATTTTTTTAATAATCTGTGATATTTAATAAGGTGAATAAATCAACAGTTTCTCTTGCGCTAAAGGGAATGTATTTGTGTTGTGTAAGGGAGTGTCCTACCATTGACAACACACTTTCTCAGAAAACTGCCCTTTTGTAATAGCAAGGTCTTAACCTAACTCAAACTTTTGTCCAGGCAAGTCACTGGGAAAATGAATAGCATGCACTACTGATAGAGACCTTAGTCAGACCCTTTTGGGCTCACAGAACTGCATTAGAGTCTCTTGTAGCAAATGTCACCTGACATCCTCCAAACTAGAGAAAGGAAGGCTTGAAAGTAAGGAAAAAACCTACTCTACACTGTCATTTTGCAATCCTGTGAAACCTGTTAAAACTCTTAAAACTTGACTTAACTCTTAAACTTAACTCTTAAACTTGACTTTACTCTTAAAACTTAAAACATGACTGGGCATCATGAGGAAAGCAGATAGCTTTTTTAGAAGGATGCGATCAGAATAATGGGCCCATAAAGACAATACTGGACAGGAAGGAAGAAAATAGGGGTCAGGGCAGTGCCTGTTTGCAGTATTCCATACCAGTGAACTTGAGTGCTTTTTCTTGATATGAGCTACCAGAGGTCCACTACAGATGCAGCAATGGATACCATTTACTACTGTCATGCCTGGAAATATAAATGAGCATATTACTTAGACAGAAGAAGCTGTTTCCCGTAATAAATGTATGGTGGCACAGCAGAATGTACAAAATACTTTTGTCACAAGCTATTAGTTGAGACCTTTCCTTCCTAGTTCTCTCAAGAACTAGAAGGTAGCTCTCCTGAAACTAGCTCAGCTAGTGACAGTTCCCCTTTTTTTCAGTAGTCAGTATGCCATGGTCTAAATACCACTTTTCAAAGCTTAGCATTTCAGGGTCTTGAGATTAGAGTCTTGAGGTAATCAATGAAATAATTCTCTTGGAAATTCTGTTCTTTTGTGGTTGAACATGTCTAGTGTGTTCAGTATAAGGGCAGTGGTGAAGCCTAAATGCTATAGGTAATAAGCCTTCTGACCCTCAGTCATATATGAAGTATGAGGTTTAACTAAACCTAAGTAACTAAACGTATATATATATATATATATATATATATATAATATAAATAAACATATATTAAATACATCCAATTTGTAGTTGTGATGATGCACTTTTTTTTCCCCAACAAATCTAGATATAATCCTCTGTGTTCATCAAAGTTATAATGCATTTACTATGTATCTGTTTCAGCGGTTAGCAAATACCTCACCAGGAAGTACCATTTCTAGAAGCAGTCCTAAATTTAATGGTGAACATTCTCCTTTAAACCCACGATATGACAGGTAAGCCAGGCTTGCTTTTGTTAATTTGAGAATGGCTTGTCTTAGAAGACCAGATTAGTGTTAAGTAACAGACAATAGTTCTGTCTGATTTAGAAGTAGTGTGTGACCATAGCATTTGATCCAAAATATACTAAAGTCAATAGGAATCTTCTCAATTACTTCAGAAAGCTCAGGATAGCCCTCTTCAGTAGAAGCCATAAACTTGTGAAGAGGTCAGACAGCCTCTTGTCTGGTCTTGGCCTTTTTTGATTCTAGTTTGAGTCTCAGTCTTTTTGTTTCCAAGAAACTATAAAACTCTTCTGAGGACCTTTGTTAGCCTTTCTCAGTACTTGAGAAATAAAACATTTTTGGTTTTATGTTCAGCTTGTGTGCCTTTTTTCCCATATAATAATTAGTACAAATGTGGGCCTGATCTTCATATTACCTCATCTCACACTGACATGCAAGAGTAGTGGATGCACTTGGATATTAATGGGATAAGAGTACAAAACCAGTAAGTTATCTAAATGCAATTAGATGGTCAGAGGTATTTATTTTTCTACTTAATAGATACAGATCATTGATCAGAACTTCCTCATCATTTCAGAGACTCACTGAAGACTGTGGGTACTGGAGGCAACCCTGAGTGCTGTCAGTCATGTTATGCTTTCACACTTGATTTTTTAAACAGATCTATCAGCAAAAATGTGTGTCCTCACTCGATAGATTATTTTATCTTTTTTTTTTTTCTTTCAGTGGTATTCCAAACCATAGAGAGCTCTCTAATAGAGGTCTTAGTAGTTTGCCAGAAAGAAAAATATATTGGATAGGAATTAAATAGACTTATAGACTCAAACTTATAATATCCCCATTTATTCAATAGTGTCCTTATTCTGTTGTCTGCATGTGAGATGTGTTTGCTGGCTGTAAAGTTTTGGTTGTTAAAAGCACTTTCCTGTTTCTGAATGCACATAAACCCAATTCCCTAATATTGGACCCTCTGCAAATTTTTAGAGGCATCTACTCTAAGTTGCATATTACACTCAGTAGTTTTCTGAGGGAGTAAATAAAACCTCTCTGGAGCCTTAGTTATGTTGTTCTTTATGAATGTTTATTAGTACATGCCACATGGTGCAATCCTTGTATTTCCACAAAAGTGGGAAATACAAGCCACTTCAGAAAAAAGTTTATGGGGTAGGAATAAAGCTTAGTCTTAACATGTATGACTTGATAGTATCAAAAGACAAAAAGAGATGTGAATGTCCCAAAACTTGTTTATTTTCAGTACCTTGTCTCCTGACATCAGGTCAGCATTAAGAGGTATTGGTTTGTATACTAATATGTTTTAAGCAATCTGTTCTAAAATGTATGATTATTTTTTTTTTGTCTGTAAGATTCATCTTGGTCTAAGCATTATATATGCTCTAAGCATATATAAAATTCCCAGCATTGAATTCATAGTTCAATGCAGTTGGGAATTGCCTACTTAAGAGCTTTATTTCAGAGAATGCCTGGCGAGCTTAACTTTGTTATAGCATGCACTCTTCCTCAGTAATTCAGTGATTTGATATAGGCTAGTAGGTGTGCATGAATACAAAGACCATGTACACTTTGATATCCTACAGCAAAGATCACATGCATTCATGTGTTATTCATTAGCCTGAAGGGATGTAAATTGGATGGTTTTGAATGTTACTGCATGGGACAGTGATGCCACTATCACCCCCATTTGGCCAGGTGCAGGGAAGAATTCGACTCAGTAACAGCTTCATAATTTGGTGATTTTCCCCAGTGTGCTCTCCTGTGTTGTGCCATCACAGGGGAGCCCCTCTGGGAGCAAGCTGTTATTACAAGGATTGATGCTGACCTTGTCTGGTTTAGCAGGTCAGTGCATCACATCCAATCCCAACAGGGCTAAGCCAGACCTCTCTTCTGCGCTATGACTTGGAGACCTTTACTGCCTCACTTTCATTGATGCCTGTCCCTGTCTTGCTGAAGAGGCATGATAATGATTGTAGCCACTGTAACCTTTTTTATAAGACTGGATTTTTTAGGATTCATATTAATCTTCCTTTTTCTGTGGTTTTATTTGCATAAATAAAACCTTTTTTTTTTTTTTCCGTAACCCATACTGTCATTGCAGCATTCCTTAAAATATTTTAATATATTACAGTATCCAGAATGAAAAAAAGACTTTTAAAAGAAGGTTAAGGGAAAAGAGAGGAATTCTCTGTACAAGTTTAGGTTTTGCATAGTTTATCAAACTGTAACAATATTATTCAGTGACTTCTTCCACCATTACTGATCTCCTGAACTTGGCTACTACATCTTCTGTATTTATTGCTGTTTCTTACTGCATGCCTCTGTGAAAAAATGCATTCATTTAAATGAGATGCAGTATGTCAAGGTTGTTTTTTGTCTTAGAGTTGGCAAAAATTCGCTAAAACATCGTATGTATTTTTCTTTTTCTCATGTCGTCATAGTACATCACTTTCTGAATGTCTTTTTAGACAGGCTTTTTAAAATTAACGTAGTCATAATTACTGACACTTGGAAAGTCATCATCAGTAACACAGATTAAGTAATTTGATCTGAGCATCCCAAGACATATGATTGGGAAAGAAATTCTTTATAAAGGCAAGATGGGGATTGACATATGTCTTAAACTTAACATTAGCGTTTCTAAGAATTGACTATTCCAGAAAGGCTCAGATTTTGTTGGGAAGAGCAATTATTGGGACTTATTATATGGAATAATTTATTTTTCCCCCTCCAATATTTTCTTATTAGGTCATCTCATTCATCTTGTGTTGATGAAGATTATGATTCTTTAGCCCTTTGTGATCCAATGCAAAGGATAAACTGTGAAGTTGACAGCTTACCTGAGAGCTGTTTTGACAGTGGTTTGTCTACCCTGAGAGATTCAAATGAGTATGATTCAGAAGTGGAATATAGGCATCAAAGGATTTTTCAAAGGTCACGATGTATGCAAGAAGGCTTTGGTGGTGATGCCTCTGATACAGATGTAAGTGTCAGATTTGCTTCTTCTCTGAGAGAAGTCTTTGATTGGAGATAAAATTAGCTTCCTGTTTTTAAAATAAAATGGATATTTGCCCACAGGCCAGTTAAAAGTAAATATTTGGGTCATGTGTATTTAAATTAATTAGTGAACATTTTTTTGAGAATGTATAAGTAGTTCTCTTTTTGAATTTACATTTTTTGATACGTTTTTGAGGTAATAACATAATTTTTGAAGTTTGTGTAATTTTTGAAGGTTGTTAAACTGTATGCAGAAAGGAGCTAATTTTCTAATGATAAAAAAGCAGATAGAAATAAAATAGGTTTCTATTCACTTATCTTACTGTGCTGTAGCAGTGGAGAAAAAAGCACATATGAGATAAAATACTGTTAGTTCACACATTGACTCATAGGCTAAAATCTTGGAGAATTAAAAAAATATCTAAGAAGGTGTTATTGTGTCTGTTTTATTGTTAGTAACATTGAAAGAGTTTCTGAGGACTACACAGTAAAAATAATGTCAAGCACAGTATACTATAGGGTTTTTTTAAGGTAAACTCTTTGCTGTGTGTTTCGTAGACATTAATCTCTGTGGAGACTTTGCTATGAATAATGTTGATTACAGCTGTGCTCTACTTAATTTCGCTTGAGTAGTAATAGCATGGAGAGTAATGTCTTTGGGAAAATTCTTAATGTTTGCAAAATAAGCTTTGAAATGAAGTATTGTCCCAGTTGTTTATTGTGACTATGTTATAAGCTGAAATTTTTGTATAGAAATTAGTCTGCTCTATTAGAATACTGAAAGAACGGATGCCAAACAATAAAAATGTTAAAAGACAAAATGTAGCTTATACTAAACAGCAGAAATAAAAGAGAACAGAATTATCACAGTATTTTGATTAGAATTGCACAGCTGTATCTGGTCATTTATCTCTGTTTAATCCAAAGTGTTAAAATGTTTTAATCAGTCTTAGCTGTGCCTTTCCAGAAAAACATGCTTTTCTCACCAGAGAACTAACTCATATTTTCAGGTTCCTGAGATCAGAGATGAAGAAGTATACAGTCCTGCTAACAGCACTGCAGTTTTAGACTGGAAGCCCTCACGACCAGTTAGTCGAAGCAGCTCAGTTGCTTCAACGAGGAGATACATATCTGCTCTCACCCCTCAGGTAACCAGTTCTTCAGGGGAAAAATGGAAAAGAATGATACAGAGGGGTGGGGTTTTTTTATAAGTTGTTATAGAGGGATTCTTTTTATTTTCAGTCAGATGCAACTGAATGCACTCCAAAATACCCCAGTACAGAGAAGGCTTACAAGATTGTTCTTGCTGGAGATGCAGCCGTGGGAAAATCCAGTTTTCTTATGAGACTTTGCAAGAATGAATTTCAAGGCAATACCAGTGCAACTCTGGGTATAGTTGGTGTTCTTAAAATACTGAAATGAATTTCATTGTTATTTTGCAGCAAAGAGGATGAAAAGCTTGCCGTTGTGATTGCTTGCTAGGGATGTACACACACAGTTTCTCATGCAGGCTGTGAGACCTAATTGAGTACTAAAGCTTAGTAATAACAGCTGTTTGTAGTGGAAAATAGGGTACTGGTCTAATTTAGTTTTTCTTTATGAAGCCTCTTTCTGAACAACATAAAGCACCAGAGAAGGAATGTCAGTATAAGGAACTTTCAGTGTGTGTATGAGCTTTTCTGCATTTTTCATTGCTTTCTTGTTTTCTCAACAATTCTCTCTTTCCTTAGTATTTCATACTATCCTTTGGTGTCTTTCCTACTATTTTTAGTTGCAATTTCTTCAAAGTGTTATTGAAGCGTTGGTTTAAATAACAGCTAGAAGGATTTCTGACTGGCTTCTTCTGTATATTAGTATACTTGTTAGCTAACAAACTTAAGTCTTAAGGATTCCAAAGAGTGAATTTTGTCTTCCAATGAAATCGTACTTATATGTCTGTTTTGTTGCCTCTTGTCAGGATTTTTGTTCTAATTTATCTTTTTTTTCCTTGGTATTTGAAATCAAATTTTTTCTAAAACATTTTCACTTTTTTGATAAAACTGTTAAGTGAAATAAAGCAGCAAGAGATCTTACTTGTTGTTCAGAATGCAATTTGTATCAATTCTTCTGTGAAAAGGCAAATACATTTGGGGGTTATTGCAGTTCAGAGGTATGTGCATGACTGACTGAAATCTCATAACCTATTAAAAAAGATTACTTTTGGATAAACTGTTTTGTATAGCCCCTACCTTTTAATTTTTGTGGTTTCTTTAAGATTATTGATGGGTTATTTTAGACGATACATATGATTCTTTTCAGGTGTGGATTTTCAAATGAAAAGACTAATTGTTGATGGAGAACCTACAGTGTTACAGCTGTGGGACACGGCTGGGCAAGAGAGGTTAGTGATCCTCTGCACTTACCTTATTTGAATTCTTTTGTTTGTAAAAGTAATTTGCCTTTTTTCATCTAGCTGGAAAAAAAGCATTAATTGTATGGTCCATATGTAAATATCAGTAAACAGATGCAATTTTTCTCTGCTGAGACCTCAAGACGGGTGGAATGTTTATGTGTTAGCTTCAACGGTGCTTGAGAGGTATCAAGAGAAATAGTTGAGGGTCACCACAGGATTAATTAACTAAATCTGTGTGTCACTCCTTTGCAATATTAAATGATGGAGTAGATGCATATGTTTCTTCTATTTTTAGTCTTTAGCTTTCTTTGTTCTTATACACCTGTGTTTTTAAGCAGGCTTTTTCTTAGTCCCTTCCCGTGCTCCCCATCTCGTGTTCTTTCCTTGAAAGTCATGGTCCCAATTTGTGTTGTATTTAGTATATAAAAACTTCTTTCCAAAGACTTTTGAGTTTTACCAAAAATATCTGTGTATATTGCTGAATTTATATCCATGATTCTTCAAAATATTGTATAAAGTTTCCTGAAAATCCTATGACATCTTTACTTGAGAGCCATTACTTCTTTACCGACAGCTTTTAGGGCTTATTAAGAGGTTAATCTAGTGCCGTGGAAGTCAGTTTAATATGTTCATTGACCAAGATTTGTGTTGGCTGTATGTAGGTAGGGATCCAATCAGTCTTCTTCTCATGTAATACATTTGTGAAGAATATTTTAATATCCATTGTAAATACCTAGTTACTATACTTGGTTGAGTAGATTGTATAAAGTTCATGACAAAAATGGCTGTAATTGATCATGAAGTCCTCAAATAATCATGATCATGAAATAATTTTACTGGATTTCTATCTTTTTCAAAGGAAGTAAAGGGAACAATCAATTTAGGAAGTTACATGTCAGTGAATTGTAGAATCATAGAATCATTAACGTTGGAAAAGACCTAATATCTTAGTGATATTAAACCAAACTATTATTTGATAATGTGGCCTTATGCAAATCTTTCCTTTTTTTCTGAAAGATTTCGAAGTATTGCTAAATCATACTTCAGAAGAGCAGATGGTGTCTTACTACTGTACGATGTAACATGTGAAAAAAGCTTTATTAATGTGAGAGAATGGGTGGATATGATTGAGGTAAGTAAGAGAACCCTAAGTTCTTACATATGTTAGAACTTAGAAGATAGGTTTCACTGCATTATTAGTTTTTTTATTTATAAAATTATATTGGATGTAAATTTTAATTATCCAGACTGGAGGCTGTCATAGGAATGAAAAGCTACATGGAAATCCTAAATGTATGCTGACATACTCAGTTAGAATTCAATCTGATACATGTTTTTGTGTTAAAGGATTTTGGGACACTCTTCCCATTCACTTCCTTTTAGAATGAATGTGGCAGCACATTTCAGATACCTTCTTGTCCTTGGAGTCTTTGCATTATAAACCAATTAGATTATGTAAATTAGCTATAGTTTAAGGAAATTTTTCAGTATTTCTTTCTACTTGTACTTCTTGTTTTTTTTATTTGGATATGAATTTGCATTTAGTGCAAGGGGTTTTTCTCTTGTGCTGGGGATGCTTAATAGGCGGGAAAGTGGCAAGCAAAATACTTAGTTCGTCTTCTGTGAAAGCATTTTCTTTTAGTCATAGTATAGGAGTTGGTTACTTTTCCCTTAGTAATTTTGTCATACAGCATTTAGATGCAGTAACCAATTCCATTAGATTAACTTAACACATTAAATTCCTTTTTGGGAAACAAGGCTTATGGGAATGGAAACACATCTTTGCAGGCTGATAGTTAAGCTGACTGCTTACATTTTGAGTGGTTTATAGAAAGTTCTCAGCATAGCTTTCATAATTCGTCAGTTTTTTCCTATTAGTATGCAAGACTTTGTGGAAAGGAGATTGATATGATATGATGATGTTTGCCGCTTCTTTGTATTCTGAGTGTTCTAGCAATAAGGAAATAAAATTCTCCTTACAGGATGCTACTCACGAGAATATTCCAATTATGATGGTGGGAAACAAGGCAGATCTCCGTCAAGATGTCACAGAACAAGGGCAAAAGTGTGTGCCTATAAACTATGGAGAAAAGCTAGCTATGGTAAGGTCCAAGTGTACCTCATTAGTATAAAATGGTCTTAGGAATTTTCATCTGAAAACCATGTGAGAAAGTAGTAAACAAAGGTAATTTTACCCTTATTTGTCCAAGTCAAGTGATGAGGATTCATGGATACTTTGCATTAAATATCATGTTTTGATAATATTTGCTGGGTTAAATCGGTGTCTGCTGAGCTGAAGTTCATTATTGGCTCTGAAAGACTTCTCAGTCTTTCTCGTGAAAAGGTAGATGGACGGAAGACTGAGTTTTTCTGCTGCCGAATAGAAGTTGCCAGTTCAAATATGAGGCATACTATTGACAGATTTGTGTCTGTCCAGATTTTGTGTGGATATTTTCATCTTCAAGAGACTCTCTTGTATTCCTGCCATGTGTGCAGAAAGAGAAAAGGAATTCTCTGCTATAAATAGAAATGTGAAAAGTTTCCTTTGTATGTTTTTAAGTGGGTGAAAGCGATGCACAAATCTTGTATTTTGTAGAATAATAGGAGGAGTCTTAAGGGTCTTGAGTGGCTAAGTGCTTGCACAAGTGATTGATTATACTGGGGCAGATACCGTATCTGTTACTTATGGAATGATTTCTTTTTTTGTTAACCTACAATAACCAGATGATGTAGTTACAGTAGCTAGCAAGTCAGATTAAGTAATCTGTCCTGGCCAGTTTCTTACTATTTTGCAATCTTGTGGACAAGAAGATTGAGTTTGAGCATTAAGCTTATAATATGGCTTTTATTCAGTTTATTAATTCAGAATATACTGATTATAAACCAGAAATAATTAAAAAACAATTACTGCTTTATTTCACAGTACTAAAGAGAATGTGTTGAACAATGAAGAGCACTAGAAGAAATCCTGTTCATTTAAATGTAGCATCATTCTTTGTGTTATTCAGGAAACAATTTGTAATTAAATGTACCCATTCACATGGGAACCATCTTGGATCAGTTAGCTTAACATTTTATTTTTACTCACAGACTTACAATGCATTGTTCTGTGAAACAAGTGCTAAAGATGGATCTAATATTGTAGAAGCAGTTCTTCATCTTGCTCGGTAAGTAACTATGTTTCTATTTTCATCTAAACACATCCGAGTATATTTTATAAAAAGGATGTGAATGCACGTAGAAAGATACACATATAGTTTCAAAATTGTACAAATGCTAAAAAAAAATTCAAAAGAATACTCTGTTAGATCATTATAGATAAATGCAAGATGGGATGTATTCTCAGTTTAATGAAGTAACATTTTTGCTTGAAAATTTTACAAAACTTTCTCAATAATTGTTTAAACCAGAACTCAGTTACAGAGCCAGCAGTTTTAAACCTATTTGCTGAGTGAATTATAATTTTAATTGTGCATGGATTAGTTTTCTTGATACTTTCATAATTTATTTTGAAATTTAATTATTCTATGTGTAATTATTTTTTTATTCTTTTACATATATAAATATGTACTCAGTTTTATTACCGACCATTCTAATTGCATATATTTTCTTTGATGTCCCCTTCTCTAAATTATTTACAGATAGAAATTCTGTTTATGTACATTTAGCACCCTAGTATTTCTATGATAGTGTGTGAGCCAAATATTACAATTCTACTACCTTTTCAAACCATTTTTGGTTAAAGTATAGTTTTGAAAGGCCTGTAAGAAAGAAGTTATGGTTCCAATAAAGTGGTCTGTAATCCATAATCAATCATATGTGCACAGCTTTTAAGTCTTCATTTCTAAAAAACATCCAACAACATGCATTTTTTCTATGAAAGTAAATTTGTACTTGAAACTGAAGTTATTTGGTTTTGTACTTAGAGCTATGAACATACTCTTTCTATGGTAAAATACTGAAGCAAATAAGAAAAACTTCTCAAAAGAAAATTGAAGATAAATCAGAACACGGGGGAGTTACTAGATATTTTAAAAAATTATATTTTTTTCACTATGAATTGCATAGAAAAGTCCATATGATTATCAAATTGGAAACTGATTACCAAATTGGAAACTTGTGAGACATGTTGATTCTGTGCTAATTTACATTGTATTGTAATACAGTGTAAATTAGCACAGAACCAACATGTCATAAAATAGATGGTGATGAACTCTGCAACATATAGTGGGAAAAAATAGAAGAGTGAACATAAATAGAAATGTGTTAATGGAGTGCAATTTTTTGTTTTTGTTTTATTACAGCGAGGTGCGAAAACGAAGTGATAATCGAGATGATACAAGATCAGTAACCAGCCTGGCTGGGACACCTGTCAAAAAGTCGGCACTCATGAAAAACTGTTGTAATGTTTAAATGACAGATAATTTTCCTTAACTAAATAACTTGTATATTTTAAAAAACCCAAGCCAACAACCAAACCAAAATATTTCAGTAGTGTTTCCTTTTTTTTATGGATTTATAAATTTGTATATTTAGAAGCTACACATAATGTTAAAAATCAAGACTCTACTTTCTACTCTTTCAAATTTGTGAAATTGCTACACTCATAGACTCTTTTTTGACTTTTTAAAAGTAATATAATTCATTGCAATGAGCTCAGAATCAATGCTACAGTGGTCACTGTGTACAATATTGTAATGTATATTATTGGCTCTACCTGCATGTTTCTTTATGGCATTCATTTTTCTTAAATACAGAATGTGGTAATATCCAATATCACTCACAGGTAAAGAAAAAATTACAGCTTCAGTTAATTTAATTTCTTTTTGATCATGTCTGCTTATCTAGTTTTTGACAGCCTTAAATGTTGCTTAAACATTTCTTAAGAAAACTCCAAACCATTAAGGGTTGTCTAGGTCCAAGTAATCCCTAAGTTTAGGGGAACCAGAATGGTCTTTGTCAGGAGAAGACAGTGGCAGGTGATGGTGTTCTGTTGTAGTTCCTCAAAAGTTGGCTAGTTAGAATGTATTTAATTTTGAGTTTTGGGGTTTGACTAAGTGAGAAGTAGACTTTATAACTGATCCTACACAGCTAAGAGGTGAAAGAAACATTTTTCTGGACTATTACAATTCAAAATTCCAGAGAGAATGTAACACCTGTGATATGTTGGATTGCTGAAATGAGTTATGATCCAATATCTTATCTGCCTGTTTAAGCTAGATCATTATTGTTACCAAAGAGTGATACAAGTTGTAATTTTTCCTTTGCTTTTTCAAATATCTTCTATTCAGTCAGTAATTGAAGGATTGTAATAGTACATAGGAGTATGATTTAATAAATACTTTAATGCATTTTTTATAAGTTTCAAATCAGCAGATGAAAGAATTGCTGCACATGCACAAGCATTTGTATAAATTTTTCTGTAAAAGAGAACCCTGGAATGAACAGCAGTCACTTTAATGAGAGTTCCTTCGACTGATTTTAGAAAATTTCTGGAAAACTTACCAGGGGGTGGTAGCTTTAGGTGTCAGCATCTCTAAACACTGAATTTTGCTTAAAATAGTTCCCAAGAGTTCCATAATGTAATAAAAAATTATGGGCATTTATACAGTTAGTGGTCCAAATCCAGTTTTTCTTTCACTGATTTTGATCAGAATAGGATGGGACCTTTTCAGAGCCAGAAAACTGTTGTCTCCCCTGTTTCCATTAATAAAACATCTCCAGGCTGAAGCCTAGTTCAGTAAATCAAACCTGGATAAAGTTTTATCAACTGATGGAAAAACCGTATGACTAGCAGCTGTTTGCTGCATTTTGTCAGCACTGTGTCAACACTGTATGGCCTATACTGTTATCTCTTGTATAAAATGTGGGGATGTGAGAAACAGGATGGTTCATAATTTACAAATAATAAAAAGGTTTCAGCTAGGAATAGAATTATTTTTAGGCATCCTTTCAAATCTGTAATCAGAGCAGCTAATCCTTGGGTAATTATCAGAGAATTTTTTACCAAGAGAGAGAAATCTAATGCCAGAATGAATAAGACATTTTATTTCCCTGTATAATAGTTCAGCCCTAGAAGACAAAACATGTTTGGTGAGGACTTTTTGAAGTACTAGCAGAACCTTCACATGCTACCTAATTCCATGCAGGAAATTTCAGGATTGTAGCGTCTTCCCACACAGCAGTACAGGATACCTCACTGTAGTTCTGAGACTTATCTGAAGCATGTGGCAGAGAATGCAGGACACACAAAGTGTATCAGGAACATGCCTAATCACATACATATTGTTTGCTGTTAACCATACATTTTTTAAATAAAAATACAGCTTCAGTTAAGTTCTTTGAGGAGACTAGCCAAATTTAACTGACTGCTTTGATGACGGCCTCTTCTGTGTTCTTTGTGTGAACCCTTCCCTTTGTCCATATGAAAGAAATGGAAGTGAAATTAATTTGGGAAGTGTTTGCAGTAGGGAGAATAGAGGAAGATGATACAGTACTTGGTTTGTGAAGTGTGAGCCTTCAACATGTATATTCAACAGGCATTTGCATTTTCTTGGGATAAGATCAAGACTATAAGTTGTTACTTGTGTTCCAAAAATGTCTCTCATTCAGTGTTGTTAGCTTGGAGAGCCTGGACTGGGGATCAATGTTCTGTGTGTGTGTCCTGAGCTACTGTGTTTGACCAGCTCTGTGGTCTTGGCCTCCAGTAAATGAGTTGCAGTGTTTACTTAGACATTATTGCATGAGCAGAGTGTTTTGGCTGGATACAGAGAATCACATAAAGTGATTTGCAGGAAGGATTTCTGGAAGTGGTTTTGTCCAACCTTCCAAGGACCAGAGCAGAGATGGACTTTGGCTAGCCCTAGATTATCTTGTGGGTTTGGGTAGCTGGCCTGTGAAAATGCTCCAGGACAGAGGTACTACCACCATCCTGGGAAACATGTTCTAATGCTTTTCCTCCTTTTCTGGATAAACACTTCTCTTCATGTCCAACTTCAGTTCCCCAAATGACTACAAATTTATAATAGTTGTCCCCCATTATGTAGAAGAATTTGACTATAATCTTGGTGACTTAATTTTCAGTATCTGTTGCTGTGCCTTGGCCTTCTCTCTACCAGTGTCACAACATCAGGAGTATCTCTTGGAAAGTTTCTCTGGGGATCCACATCCCAGAATTAGCAGCATGTGTGCATGTGTAGTAATTACTTTCATATCTAATATTTTTATCATACAGAGGGTGCCATGAGAATATCCATGTTTGTAGAGAGGCTGGTTGAAGGATGTAAGTTCAGGGACTTGCCTTCACACCAGTTTTTCCCTCTCTGCAGGCCACTGATGTCTTCAGTACTTTTGTTTTTCATTTATTTTAATAACCAAAATTTATTTTATGTTGTTTAGTCGAATTAAGTAGCCTGAATCAATGTATTAAGTTCTGTACATTTTTTGTGTCATGTAAAGCAACTTTAATTTGAAACAGTGTTGTTTTCTAAATAAGATTCAGGGTTGAAGGTTGTTAGCTGTTAACAAAGTTTTACCTTGGAGTAAGTTTATGATCAATGTCTAGAGGACTGAAAAAGCACTATTAAATGGGGATATAGCTATTGCTCAGTTGGAACTCATTTTAGAAATCCTACGATGGTTAGCTCCATCATATTTTAAATGTTAACATAATACTTTGTTGAATTTATGTTAAAGCAAAAGAACTTGGAAAAATATTTAAATCTAGAAATTAAAGCATGTATTTATAGGTGGAAATAATGAATGCATAATTTTTTCTGTTGTTTTACTTTAAAAGGCTACCTTGTCTTCAGCCTAAAAGGTAAAATGGCAAACATCAGCTTTATGAAATGATTGCACTTTTGTCCTTTGAATGTTTTTATGGTTTTGTTTAGTACATAAGAACTGTTCATTTAATCACACAAATTTATTTTTTTAGTTAGTGAAAGTGTTCCCTTAATACATTTATTTATTTGAACAAGAAAGGTCTTTTATGTTTTTCCTCATGATCTGTAAATAAATTATTTTTATTCAGTTGACATGGAAATATTATTTTATCCTGTATTTTTGACCCTTTTTAATTGTAATTTATTACACATTTCCGAGGAAATAATTTCTATGACACGCTCCAAAAATGTTCTGATCATGTAAGTTCTTGTAACCACTTTGTGCCTGTTTAGCATATATTACTGGCTTAATAAGACAAACTTCAGCTTCTAAGTTCTGTTATGGCCTTACACAGCTTAAGTATTTTTCTGTGTAACTACTTTTGTATTGACTAGAAAATCCTCTGTTAGGAAAAAAAAATTACAGTTATAAATCTGTATAAGATGCTAAAATGTAGTTTAAGGAAAATATCTATAGGCTACTCCTTCAAAGAACATCGTTCAGCTGTGCATCCATGCAGATCTCCAAAAAAAGTAGTAAGTTCTGTGCAAGTGCACGCAATCCACATATATATCCTTTTAATGAGGTTTTTTATTTTTTCCCCTATCAACAGCTATACAGCAACGGTAGGGTAGCATTTTAGGTAAAAATACTGCAGTCAGTGATCCCCGATTCATAAACCAAAGGGAATAATATATTCATGGTACTTCATTGTATTATAAAGAAACATATTTCCAAGATGTTTCTAGTTGTCTTAGATAATTATAAAAATGGACTAATATCTCATGTACAGTTCCAGTGACCTTTACCACTACCTCTACCAGACTTGATACAGCGTGTAATTCTCTCTTACGCTGTCTGGGCTACTTATGGATTAGAGAAGCTTTTTAGAGTGCCAGTTATTTTATTATTTATCTTCCACTGTATTACTATCAGTCCTAATCCTTTCTTACTGGTATCCTTAGGACTAGTAATATCAATATTTGTTATTATTAATTTTTTAAAAACTACTTCTTATTTTGAGAAAACTTCCTGTAAAAGAAAATGTGACTCAGTATGTAAAGTGTTACTGAGTTTGTACAAAGAAGTCTTTTCTCTGCACTTCTGCGCCTTGAATTATGGCTTCAGATAGCTGGACTAATGCAAAATTAGTCATGAAGTGGCTAATTTAACAAATAAATTAACAAATAAACCAAGTAACAAGTGAACAAGCTGTGGAGGTTTCCCACTGAATAAAAAAGGAAGTGTGTAAAATGTGAGTCAATTTTCAAACTAGTATGAGGAAGAAATTGTATCATCTTTCAAAAAAAGTCTGTATATTCTATAAATAATTCTAAATTATGGAAAGTTTTTAAAAATTTTATACAACTAAAACTGGATTTAGTGCAGCTTGTCCCTCCTTAAAATGACTGATCGCTTCATTTACTGTAAGTTTATATATATATATGTTCAAAACTGACACCTTTCCTGTATCACAAATTACTGTATAATTAAATATGCTTCAACAGCAATTTTTCTTTAGTGTATTTTCTTATCAGTACATATGAACAGCAGTCCAGCATAATATCTGTGACCTGTCAGCTTAGTGTTGTTATTGTTCACCAACTTCTGCAGCCAGTTGCATGCAAAAGTGATGCAACCAAACGCCGGTGTCTGGCTGCCTCCAGATTTTTAGCCTCAATGAACAGTCATCAGCTTTGAGCTGAGAGATGTCTCTCGCTGTGATTCTCAGGTAAATCTTGCTGTACCTCTTTACAGAGATGCATTAGCCATCCTGTCTCTAAACACTAAGATGTGATATTGGTAGAGTAAGAAAGAAAAGAAGATAAGTAGCCCAAAATAACAAGCCTGTTGCAAATATGTTTAATACAAGACTCTAGGTATCGAGCAAAAAATACTTAGGGGTACATATATCAAAGACAAAAAATGCCCCAAAATAGAAATTAAAAGCTGTATCAGGTAAAATTGGCCCATTTAAATGTTACCATGGAATCACAGAATCATGTAAGTTAAAAAAGACTTGGGTAACACCAAGTCCTGGTCTTCTAAGCTCACATGTGACTTCTCCAATGATTGGATTTGGAGCTAAAGCATGAATGTGTGCTGCTTTCTGAAGCAGAACAATAAAGCCCTGGAAGGATGGGATGGGGATGAGGGGTGTGCCACTGTCAAAATGCCCTTTTCAAAACCCGATTTATTTTCTTTTATGACATAAGATGTTGAATTAATTTTCATGTTTGTTTTTCTTTCAGATATTTTTCCCTTTTATTTTAGTAACCTGTTCTTCACCATCCACAAAAGCAGTAAGAATTAAAATATGGTTTTGCGTTCTTTATTATTTGCACAAATTAAAAATTATTGTTGAAACTGAAACATTTAGCCATATTGAACACCTGATGTTATCAATGTATAATCAGAAACTATTTTCATAATCTTACATTGGGGGCTATATCTTCTTACTGACATTATAGTCAGGAGGGAATTCTAGTTCACAAGCTAGTGGTGTAATCCAAGGAAAATTAGACATGCAGCAACAAAAGCTGGTCTTACTGTAACAAAAAATACACACCTGGTAGTTTTCTGTTTAAACTTTTCTGTTACTTTCTGCCAATAATTACAGATTTTCTAAGAGCTTGCTATTGTTATCATTTTGAAAAAGGTATTTTAAAAAAATCTCACTTAAAAATCGGAAACAATCAAAGACAGAATCAAGGATGTAGTCCTTAAAAAAAATGGAAAAAATATGCTATGGGTTGCTTATTTTTCTTGCTCCCCAGAACCAAATGAGAACTTACTGAAGGTCAAAAATTTCTAGTGTTTGTACCAGAATAAAAGATCAATGACAAAATGTGAGATACAGGAATAAAAGACAGGGATTATATTTACTAATATAGTAAATATATATATATATATATATATATATATATATATTTAATGCTGACTGCCTCATGTTTTTCCTGAAAGTTTCCACTTCAGTCTGTATCCATTCCTGTGGAGTGCTTCCTTTTTGTAGCTTTTAAGAAATTGTTCTTTTCATGTCACAGATATATTTTTAGGGAGATAACTGTCGTTGGATTAGTTGGAGAAAATCTTCAGGAATTTTGCAGTAAATTTATCAAAGTCCTATTTATCAGTTGAGTATGTCAAAGTGCCTGAGATTTGCAATGGTTCCACAAAACAAACTCACTTAACATTGATATACTTAATAGATGCATGTTTTATGATAAAATAAGGAACCAAATTAACTGTGAAATATGTCAAACTAAAACCAGGTCTGTGAGAGCAGATGGTACTGTATTAAACTATGTGTGTAAGTGATGAAAATAAAAATAGAAGCTATTTATTGAGTAAAATGTTTTAGATTAATCTAAACCCCAAACTGTAAATTACAGTACCAGTTGGTGAAGTAGTTAATATTTTCCAAAATATTTCTGCTAGTGTTTATGCTAAAGTGAAGACATTGTTCTGGCACTATGAGAGCTCTAATATTAAATTTTTCCATTGCTGATTTCTGGGCCACAAGAATCCTAACTGAACCATACACAACCCTTGCCAACTCTTGCAGTTCTTATTCATTATACTTGATCAAACTGGTGGAAAGCTGTATAGATGAAGTAAATTCTACTAA